ATACTTTTGAAATGACGCACTCTTCCCAACATAACATATCACTCTTGCTTATCTCATTTGCTTACCAAAAAAGAGCTTTATTTTGAAAAGGGAGAATGTTTTTCTTTTTAGTCTTCAATACTCCATGGGCATCAGATTTTATTAAGAAAGAAAGAAAAAGGAAAAAAAAAAAGACTTAGAGCATCAGTGAAGACAAGAAAGAGAGAGAAGCTCCCAAACAATTTGATCTAAATATTTTATGTAACAAAGATTGTTTACTAAGTGCTTGGCTCTAAAAAAACCAGTCCTGCCCATTCCCTCTTTCTTGCCTGTCTCTGAAAGGTGGCCCCAACCTTCTCTCTCCTGAAGGTGGCCCTACCTTTTCTGTTCACACACTATCCACTTTTCAAGACACAATTCAACTTCCTCCTCTTCTTTCTGCAATCCAGAATGTTCTCTCCCTTCTCTGAACACAGCACATTCTCTAATTCTGTTCTTTATATGTGTATTTCTTGTGTCTTATCTCCTCCCCAAGCTTGTACACTCCTGGATGGAAAAAGACAATTTCTTACTCATCTTAGTGTTCAATGCTAATTCAAAATCAGAAAGTGTAAATAAGGAGGGAACAATCACTCAAAAGCCCGTCACAATTAGAAAACTTTTTTTAAAAACATGTTACAGCTTATTAAAAAGTGACCCCAATTTGTTTTTCTGACAAGTCATCCCTGCCCCAAGCATATCAGGTTTTAAGTAAGGATAGTAAGGTGCCTCCATCTAACACCAATGACTTAGGAATCCTAAAAGTTTCCCCCTCCTACTCAGTGTTCTTTCGTTTCCTTCTAAGGAAATGTTGTGAACTATAGCCAGAACTATAGCCTTCACCAATGTTTGCAGCCAGGCCTCATGAAAGTTCAGAAAAGAGTGATTCATCCCAAACAGGAGAAAGGAGAGTTCCTCCACTGTAAGGTGAAGTTCTCAAAGCCCCATTCGTTTGGTCTGAGGACATGAGACCCTTAATCTCTGGGTCATGTATTTCAGGCCCATTTTGGAGAAGGCAGCACCTTACACTAAAAGGGGATCATTTGTTTAGAATAGGGGTTCTTAGCTTGGAATGCTTCGACACACACACCCCAACCCCAAGAGGTCCTTGGGTAGAATTCAATGGGGTCTGTGAATATGAAGGGCAGAACAAAAAATATTTTCACAAACCTCTTACAGAAATTTAGCATATCCTTCAATTATAAGTGTAGGAAGCAATCCACAGTATTATTACTCCTACTACAATTGCTACTATTACTACTACTACCTGGGACCTTATCATCAATTGAACTCACAGATATTTTCATATCACATGACAGTTATCTCAAAACACTAGATCAGATATCTCAAAATATCACTTATACGCATAGCTACCCTGAAGTAAGGTAGTATTAGACCCTCCACTAGATCTTGTTATTTAATACATCAATAAAGAAGCACATATCTTGCTATATCACAGATCTTAAATATTTTGATAATTATATTTAGTATAACTTTTATTTTGCTTGTAATCCTTTGTATTGTCTTATTCACTTAAAAATAAAATTATTCTGAGAAGGGGTCCATAGGTTTCACAAAGGAATAGCAAAGGAGTCCATGACAAAAGAAGCCCTGTGAATGGATGAAAAACTGCTTACTAGTAAGTTCCCATGAAGGTATCTATCTTATTTTGCTTAGTATGGTGAATGGGAAAAACAAACTCAGTTCAGTTTCTCCCACTATATTCTCACATTTCTTATACCAGATGTGTGGGATTTCTCCCTACATACTAAGCAATCAATTTTCCAGCAGACACACGCTGGGTGTCCTGTAATTCAATTCAACACTGTCTACCTGAAGATAGTGTCAGATCCCACCCTCCCCCATATGCCAGTCGCAAGCTATAGATTGTTTTACCTGTGCTTCTGACCAGCTGGCTATAAACTGGGGTCCCCACAACCCCCTCCTTGGGTTCAACTGATTTGCTGAGTGGCTCACAGAACTCAGGGAAACATTTATGTTTACCCATTTATTATAAAGGATATTACAAAGGATACAGATGAAGAGATGCATAGGGCAAAGTATGCGAGGAGAGGTGCAGAGCTCTCATATCCTCCCGGGGTGCACCACCTTCCAGGAACCTCCATGTGTTCAGGTATATAGAAGCTCCTCAAAACCTGTGCTCTTGGGTTTTTACAGAAGCTTCATTACATGGGCATGATAGAAGCATGGACAACCATGTAGAAATGTGATAGGACATAAAGGGTATGATCTAACACTAACAGACCTACACCGCCTGGCACATACCTCCATCATAACACCTAACCCATGGTGCTGTCTGCTTATTCTCGTCTACCTCCCCTTCTAGACTAGGTCTTTCCTGACGGCAGGCATATCTCAAGCACAATGTCTAACACAAAGCAAGCACATAATAAATGTTTGATGAGAATAAATTTATCGGTCACCAACTATACACTGGCTTGCAGTTAAGTGCTGGAATACAAAGGTGACTCACAGTTCAGGGCAACTGAACAAGTATTCATTGAATGCTACATTGTCCTAGGTATTGCAGAGACCCATAAAACACAAGATTCTGTCTTACAGAAGCATATTCTCTAGCGGGGAACTACGACATGTAAACAAATAATTTCAATGGAATTTGATTAATCTATTCTAGAGGTGTCTATGGGAAAAGAGCACTTAACAGGCAGAAGAGAGCAGCGGGGAGGGGGTGTTGTGGAAAGCTTTCTGAAGATGCTATCTGAACTGAATCACACCAGAAGAGGAGTAGCATATTTAAACCCCTCATGAGGAGAGAGAGCGAGCATAAAATCACAAAGCAGCAAACTGAGGACAGAAACCAAGGGAACAGCTAAGGTGTAGGCAGGGCAAGCAGTCCAGAAAGGAACTTTCAAAGTGTGAATAGAATCAAGAGAGACTGATGAAGGCAAGGGGAAAAGAACTTTTTAAGAACTTTTTAAAAAGTGCAAAATCAGCAGTGCCAAATGCACCAGAAAGGTCAAGATAAGGCCTATAAAGTGTTCCATGAACTTAGCAATGAGAAAGTCATCAGTAACTTTGCAAGAGCACTTTTAGTGGAGTGGTACAGTGGGCAGAAGCCAGACTGCAGTGAGGTGGTGAGTGAATAGGAGGTGAGAATCAGATTGAGAATGCAGAGAATTTTTACAAAGGTTGGCTGAAAGAGGGAAGAGAAATACGGCAGTAGCTAAAGGGTGACAAAGTTTTAAGAACTTTTTAAAAAAAATTCTTTCCTTCCCACCCTAAACTATTCCCAAATGGACAACTTTCTATTTGGATCCCTAAAATTCCCGCAACACTGTAAGCTCCTTAAAGACAAATCTTTTGTCTGAAACATCCTTTTATTCCACACATTTCTCTGTACATGGTATAGGCTCAATATCTTTTGAATGAATGAATGAAATGCAAATTCAGCACAGGTGAACAGAGAGATGAAGGGGTCTGCTTGGACACAGCAATTGTTTGTTCTACTTTCATGGGAACTTGTAGATGCCTGAAAACTCAGGAGCATAGAGAAAACAAATCCAGACAATCTTCCCTCATTGATGGTTATAAATGTTTGACCCAGGAAGGCAGGTATGGTTAGGGGCCAGTTTAGATTTTGGAGACTGGAAAATAGATCTTTAGATTCAAGTGTACCTTCATTCTCAGAGGCTGTTCAAGTTCTTGGGATCGGCAGGTCTGTATTGCATTCTCAGTGATGCCAGTACAGTTCTTGTAAATTATTTAACCTGCCTAAGCTTCAGTGTTCTCACTGGCAACTTAACACCATAATAGCATCTACCTCATAGGGATGTAGGAGGATGAATGAGATATGGCAAATGAAGTGCTTATCACTGGCAAAACAGCACTCAATATGTTAATAAAATAAACAAGGTACTACTAAAATGAATAAAAAATATTACTAAAGAAAATGAGTTCCAGAAGAGTTGAATATAAATCAAATCCTATTTTAAATATAAATAAAACTTGTTCCTTAAAGAACTCCCTTTTTTATAAAAGTGAGTGAATAATTGGCCCCAACTTATCAATTTTTATAAATCCACATTTCCGTATATCAGATTTAGTGAAAAACCTATTTTAAAGTTCCACCTACGGAGAGGGCTGCCCAATTAAGTCAGTTAACGTTCCTTAGCCAGGGGGCGGAACCAGGGTGTTGCATTAATTTCCTTGCCTGCCACCACTGCCTGCGTAAGAGCGCCCTTGGGTACGTTGTTTCTGTTCTAATAAAAATTCAGCTCCAGCACCCTCGGTGGAACAGATCCCGAGCACCAGTGGGCAAAGACTAGGTTTTTTTTTTTTTTTCCAAAAAAGCCTGCACCCAGCAAGCAGGCCGCAGAAAGGCAGGAGCGAAGTCCCAGCGCAAACGAGGGCCTGGGGAGCGAGGCTTGGCACCCGCCCGCTCCGATTCGGGCCTGACGTCCCCGGTGGGTGGGTACTCCGGCCACCCTTGTCCCGGAGCGCCGGGCTTGGAGCCAGCGGGAGGCGCCAGTCCTAGCCGAGAATAGTAAGCAACCGGGCGGGATGCGAGGGGTCTGAACAAGGCGGCGCCGTCTAACCTTTCCCGGTTAAGGCGACTGCCCTCGGCGCTGTAACTGTATCTGCAGAGGCAGCAAAGGTCACTGTAAATGTCAGAGGCCTCGGGAGGAGGACCGGGACGGGGACAGGCACCGTCAGGGAGGGGCAAGAGGCAGAGGGTCGGGCGGGCCTCCCAAGGTCAATTCCGACTCCCCGCCCCCAGGAAGTCAGACGGGAGTGCTGGGACCCCTTGGCCACTTCCCCCCGCCGTGTGGGCGACCTCCGTCGGGCCTCCAAGCGGGAGGAGCGAGCGCAGAGGAGCGGGGGTGGAGACTAGAGCGGCCGTGCACGGACGCGGCCCGACCCTGAGCGAGGCCGGGCGACACGGGCCGCACGTAGCGCACGCGCCCCGGACGCACGCCGCCGAGGAGTGGGCGCTCCCTTACCCCGTTGGCTGCGGCGATGCGGACGATGAGCTGGATGGCGTCCTTCATGTAGAACCTGCCGTCCCCGCCCACCACCAGGGTGGCCTCCTGCCGCTGCGCCGGCTCCACGGTGGAGATGATACTTTGGATGAAATTCTCCGCGTAGTTGGCGCTGCTCTGGAACACTTTCACCCGCTTCCGCAGTCCGCTTGTGCCCGGCTTCTGGTCCGGGTACGCCTGGGTCTTAACAGTCACGATCTTCACCATGGTGACGACTCGCTGCCTGGGCCGGAGCGGACACTGCGAAGCGAGGGGCGGCCGCGGCTGGGGCTGCAGCTGCTCTGCAGTGAGGGCGCGGGCGGGTGGGGGTACGCCTGCTGTCTCGGCCGCACTCGGCCCTCCTCCTTAAAGGGACAGGGGACAGGAGACAGGGCCCTCCGTCCGCCGCCAAACCACCTTCCTGCAGGTCCGGCCGGGAGGCGTGGGGGAGCGCCCATCCCAAGGCCTCCTGCGTAATGGGTGGGGCGTCTCTGATTTACCCTCCGCTTCGTAAACCAATCCACTATAAAGAGATCCTCAACTCCTCCCCTAAGTGAAGGGCAGAGTTTGGGGTAGGGACCGGGCCATAGGGCAAGGACGTGAGGCAGGGTGGAAAAAATATACAGAGTATAATAATTTCCTGTGGTTTGGCTGTATCAGGTGTAAATAACATTGTGGAAACCTGTTCTGAAGGACGGAAGTGCCAACTTCAGATACATTTCATGACTCATTCTATTTTCTCCCCCAATGTCAGGAAATATACCAAAATATGTAACTGTAACAGTGATTACCTCTGGGTCATGAGATAGGGTAGTTTTTATTTTCTTTATAATTTATCTGTACTGTCCAAGTTTTCTACAGGGAATTGTATTTTTTTTATAATCACATTAATTTTTTTATTCAAAGTACTTTTTTTGTGTGGATGGCCAGTAAGTACAGGGATCTGAACCCTTGACTTTGGTGGTGTAACACCCAACTCAAACGAACCGAAATAACCTGTCAGCCCTTGAAGTGCCTTTTAAGTGGTAGTCCTCATGTTATTAGTGTTATTCTTTACCCTTTAGATGGTATTCATTCATTCATGTGTTGATTCACTCACCCTACAAATATGTTTTGAATTTCAACTAAGGGTCAGCTCTTTGAAAGGTTTTAGGTGAACAAGTCAAAATGGTCCCTGGTCTCACAAAACTTGCAATATTTTGGAGGAGACAGATACTGAATAATAAATCATTACTGTGATAAGTGGTACAAGGAACTATAGGTGGTGTAAGGGAGTAAACAGAAGGATCAAAGAGTCAGGGAGAGTATCCTGGAGGAAGTGATGTGTGGGCTGAGGGCTGGAGGGATGAATAGTAGTTGGACAGGTTAAAAAAGAGGAAAAGCATTTAATTCCAGGAGAGGGAATGTTAAGGCGGAAGGTTTAAAGTAAGAAGGTATTTAGTGTCATCATGGACTTCAGAGGCAGCCAGTGTTAACTGGAGTGTAGAACTGAGGAGTAGAATGGTGGGCCCAAACATATTGGGCCTTCTACATGGTGTCAAGTATTTGGATCTTTATCAGGACAGCAATGAGTGACCAAAAGAGTTTATTTTTGGTTTTGGTTTTGTTTATTGAGGTAAAATATACGTAAAATTTAGCATTTTGATAATTTTTAAGTATACATTTGGTGACATTAAGTACATTCACATTGTTGTGCAACCATTACTAGTATCCTCCATCTCCAGAACTTTTTCATTATCCCAAACTGAAACTCTGTAACCATTAAACAGTAACTCCTCATTCCTCTCTCCCTGCTGCCCCTGGCATCCATCATTCTACTTTCTGTCTCTGTGAATTTGACTATTCTATCTAAGTGCAATCATATAATATTTGTCCTTTTGTGTCTTGCTTATTTCACTTAGCATAATGCCTTCAAGGTTCATCCCTGATATAGTACACTAAAAAGGCTTTAAGAAAGGATAATTGTAATCATAATAGCATTCTTAAGAGATCATTCTGGCTGCTGTGTGAATTAATAAAAGGAAAAAAAAGTGGGTGAAGTGAAACTAGGAGGCAGGTGGAAAATTGGTGGACTTTACTATGCTGAAGACAATGGAGGTGGACTGAAGTGAACAGACTCAAGATATTTTCAGAAAAGTAGAGTCAATTGGATGTAGTGATATGCATAGGGTGAGTGAAAAGGAGTGGTGTCTTTTAACAACCTGGGATTGTGGTTGGAGGGTGATATGGCATGACCTTGAATTCTGTTTTGGACATGTTAAGTTTGAAGTGCCTGTCACACATCCAAGAAGAGGTATAGAATAATGTGTTGAATATAGAGGTCTAGAGCTTAGAAAAGACAATTGGCCAAGTGATATGAAGTTATAATCCATTAGCATATAAATAGCATTTGAAGAAATGGGAGTGGATGAAATTCCCTATGCAGAAGAATATAGAGTACAGAAAGAAAAAAAAAAAAAAGTCCAACACCAAGCTCTGAGAAACTCCAGCATTCAAAGGTCAGGAAATGCAGCATGAAAAAGTTAGGTTTTTCTACCTTTGAAAGACAACTTATTTAGAAACAATGACCCAGCAGGAAGAAGAGTTAAATATGTGTCTTTGACATGCCATCCAGCCTTCCATAAACCTGAATTCAAATCTCTTATGTTACATTAAAAGGCAAGGCAGATATACTTGTGAGCAAGTTGACATTTAGGAGCCTTCCTACAAGCCAAATTACCTAGAATTTGGTTAGGTTCTGTCTCAGTCAAGGAACAAGCAGTTGGCAGTTCTGTAAAATTGCCAACTGTAATTCTGAATGATTTCTCTGCCTTATGCAAGTGTATATAAATGGGAGGTGGGTTAAACCCTGGTTGGATAAATGTACAGGAAGATGGTGGGGTAGCAGTGCATTTAGTATTGTGTCTCTGGGCAGATTTCAGTTCAAGTCTCCACAGCAGCCGTGATCGCTGGGCGAAGAGTGCCTAGGGCAGTTGGCTAACATGCCCAATATCAAGATCTTCGGCAGCAGCTCCCACCAGGTCTTATCCCCCAAAATTGCTGACTGCCTGGGCCTGGAGCTAGGCAAGGTGATGACTAAGAAATTCAGCAACCAGGAACCTGTGTGGAAATTGGCGAAAGTGTACATGGAGAGGATGTCTGTTCACAGTGGTTGTGGTAAAATCAATGACAATCTAATGGAGCTTTTGATCATGATCAATGCCTGCAAAAGATTGCTTCAGCCAGCAGGCTTACTACAGTCATCCCATGCTTCCCTTGTGTCTGGCAGGATAAAAAAAGATAAGAGCCGGGCTCCAATCTCATCCAAGCTTGTTGCAAATATGCTTTCTGTAGCAGGCATAGATCATATTATCACCATGGACCTACATGTTTCTCAAATTCAGGGTTTTTCTGATATCCCAGTGGACAATTTGTATGCAGAGCCAGCTGTCCTGAAGTGGATGAGGGAGAACATCTCTGAGTGGAGGAACTGTGCTATTGTCTCACCTTATGCTGGTGGAGCTAAGAGAGTGACCTCCATTGCAGACTGGTTGAATGTGGCCTTTGCCTTGATTCACAAAGAACAGAATAAGGCCGATGAAGTGGACTGCATGGTGCTAGTGGGAGATGTGAAGGATTGGGTGGCCATCCTTGTGAATGACATGGCTGACACTTGTAGCACATTCTGCCATGCAGCTGACAAACTTCTCTCAGCTGGATCCACCAGAGTTTATGCTATCTTGACTCATGGAATCTTTTCTAGTCCTGTCATTTCTTGCATCAACAATGCATGCTTTGAAGCAGTAGTAGTCACCAACACTATACCTCAGGAGGATAAGATGAAGCATTGCTCTAAAATACAGGTGATCATCTCTGTGATCCTTGCAGAAGCCATCAGGAGAACTCATAATGGGGAATGTTTCCTACCTGTTCAGCAATGTTCCTTTATAATAGAATAACTTCTGAGGCTTTTTAAAAATAAAATTGACCCTACCCCCTTTTCCCTTGGTATTTGATGTCAAATTCAGCAGAAGACCCAGTTTGCTCCAGTGTAGCTTTCTACATCCCACATCAGATATATTAGAGTTTATTGTAAATTGGGGAAAGACAGATTGAGATTAACTGCTGGGATTTCTTACCTGCATTTTCTCATTCTGGCTTCCTTGATAATTTTGTGAGCCTTGAAGCTTTACATACAGCTCAGCTGCTGCAAGATTTCAAACTTTTGAGGGTGTTATGTAGGGGTGTGATTTGAATGTGACTGGGAAAGCTCAGACTACTTAGCATGCAAATGCTTCAGGGTTTTCTTTGTTTGGAACAACTAGCAACAAAGCCAACCCATATTGGACAAGTTCTCTCAGGTCTCTGCTAAATTATAGCAAGAGCCCTGGGCAACCCTAAACCTAGTCCTGGTAGCTGAGCTACCAGGTAAGGTAGTTCCTGGTAAGGCAGGAACAGGCAGCTGAGCTTGAGCAGCTGTGAGATGGGGTCATGGAGGGAAGTGCAGGGGACACAGCAGCACAGTGCAGCAAATGTTTTTTGGGAGGAAGAAGCCTGATCCATCACCATCTGCTTGACTACATAGCTTGGATTGTCCTTTGAACCTATTCCTTTTGATTTGTTTTTGCCTTCGGCCATCTTGACCTTTTCATGGCCAAAAATTCTCTTAGGCCCAAATGATCATTGTATCATAGTCTTCTGGAAAGTAAACTCTCTTCTTGCTATGTAATTGCTAACGTTCACACTAGATGATCTGCTGTAGCTTAATCTTCCTTAGCCTACAACCACCATGGTAGTAGGTTTTAGGTAGTGTTGTACTGCCTTTTGATTAATTTAAGTATTTAATTTTCATCTTCCTTCTCTGGATCTGTTTGGTCTCTCAAATGACCTGAGATTTCTGTTAAAAAGATTGATGTTATTGTCTCTTGTAGAGGAAACTAATAAAGTGTTGGGGGTGGGGGTGATAAATACATAAATAAATACGATGTTTGGTCAAATTCCATTTCCAAGTACAGTATTTATTAAAGACAGCTTTATAATGGGCCACAATAATCAACCACATTGTATATTGACAAAATAAAATAAAATTAAAAAAAAAAAGACAGCTTTACCCTCGCCCTTCACAAATCATTATTTGTATTCCAATTGTAATGATTTAAAGAAATGTATTTACCATAGGATATCAATCTTGGATGACTGTAACAGATAATAAATGATATGTTTGCAATTTATACTGAAAATCCAAGATGGTGAAGTGGGTGATCTAGGGCATTAGCCTTTTAATGGTTATTAGTTACATGGCTCACACAGAAACTGATAGTCAAAATAAGAAATACCAAAAAGTAGTTTATTAACAACATGTAGACAAAGCCTTAGAAGGCACCTATATGGCACACAATAAAAGCATGTATCACATAATTGTTATAAACAAAACACAACTCTACATTTGTGTACACTCATAA